TTAAAGGCAGAGGGAAAAGCTTTAGAAAACAGATATTGATGCTGAGGGAATCTTTTCAAGAAAGAGGAGAGATCCCGGAAGAGCAGCTGATGCCCAACACAGTTTATCCTTCTGGAGGGATTTGGTGTCACCAAAGCAAACTCATTGGAGCAATTTTTATCCTCCCCCTCCCACCCCATTGCTGCTTCCATCACTCCCTAAATCAGCTTTTTGGGAGTTAGGGCTGCTCAGGTTCTGTCCCTGCCCCATCTCTTTTTAATTGGAGCCTTAATCTCCTGCCTGATGGTGGGATGGGCATCACCAGGCTCTTTGGGAATGTTTGGCTGCCCATGCCATCCACGGCCCCTCAGACACACAAAACCTGCCAGCTGCTCCCATTAAGTTGGGAAAGAGTTTGGCTGGAAAAGAGTTTTTAGCACAGGGAGTGACTGCAGGCCTGGGGGCTCAGGATTCCTGGGTCCTGCTCGCTGTTCTTGGGGAATTTGGGATTTAGGAATGATCTCTGGGAGTAAATCTCCAGGTTCTGGGTAGGTATGAGAGGCCAATGCCTTTCTTCACACAAGGGGTCTCATCTTGTCCCTTTTGCTGGTGGGCACAGAAAGGAATTATGGAATTATTTAGGGTGGAAAAGACCTTTAAGATCATCGAGTCCAACCAGTGCTGCCAAAGCCACCACTGACCATGTCCCCAAGTGCCACCTCTGCATGGCTTTTAAAGCCCTCCAGGGATGGTGAGTCCACCACTGCCCTGGGCAGACTGTTCCAATGCTCAACAACCTTTCCCATGAAGAAATTTTCCCTGATATCCAACCTAAACCTCCCCTGGAACAACCTGAGGCCGTTTCCTTTTGTCTTGTCCCTTGTTATTTGGGAGAAGAGCTCGACCCCCCCTTGGCTCCCTCCTTCTGTCAGAGATCCAGAAGGTCCCTCCTGAGCCTCCTTTTCTCCAGGATGAGCCCCCCCAGCTCCCTCAGCTGCTCCTGCTGCTCCAGACCCTTCCCCAGCTCCATTCCCTTCCCTGGACACGCTCCAGCCCCTCCATGTCTTTCTTGTCCCGAGGGGTCCAAAACTGATCCCAGGATTTGAGATGTGGCCTCACCAGTGCCCAGCACAGGGGGACAATCCTGTCCCTGGCCCTGCTGGCCCCACTAGTTTTGATCCAATCCAGGATCCATTGCCCTTCTTGGCCACCTGGGCTCGTGTGCAGCTGCTGTCAACCAGCATTCCCAAGTCCTTTTCCAGCTTTTTTCCAGCCACTATTTCCCAATCCCAGAACCTTCCACGGGGTTGTTGTGTCCAAGGCTTTGCTGAAGTCCAGGCGGGCACATCCACAGCCTTTCCCTCCTCCTTGTCACAGGAGGAGATCAGCCTGGCCTGCCTTCCATAAATCCATAACGACTGCACCTCATCCCGTGGTTGTCCTGGATGTGTTGTGTGATGCCACTCAAGAAGATCTGCTCCAGAACCTTCCCTGACTCCAAGATTTCCACTGACAGGTCTGTGTTTCCCTGGATCCTCCTTCCAGCAAAACGTACCAGCAGACAAGTGGAAAAGGCAGAACAAAAAGAACTTCCAGGTTCACCATTTGAGTAGAAAAAGCAGCACAAAAAGAACTTCCGGGTTCACCATTTGAGTAGAAAAAGCAGCACAAAAAGAACTTCCAGGTTGACCATTTAAGTAGAAAAAGCAGCATAAAAAGAACTTCCAGAATCATCATTTAAGAAGAAAAAGCTGCACAAAAAGAACTTCCAGGTTCACCATTTGAGTAGAAAAAGCACCACAAAAAGAACTTCCAGGTTCACCATTTGAGTAGAAAAAGCAGCACAAAAAGAACTTCCAGGTTCACCATTTAAGAAGAAAAAGCCGCACAAAAAGAACTTCCAGGTTCACCATTTAAGAAGAAAAAGCAGCACAAAAAGTACCTCCAAGTTCACCATCTGAGTAGAAAAAGCAGCACAAAAGGTAATTCCAGGTGCAGCATTTGAGCAGGAAAAGCAGCACAAAAGGAACCTCCAGAATCACCATTTAAGTAGAAAAAGCAGCACAAAAAGAACTTCAAGGTCCAGCATTTAGGTAGAAACACAAAAAACACTTCCAGGTTCACCATTTAATTAGAAAAAGCAGCACAAAAAGAACTTCCAGGTTCACCATTTAAGTAGAAACACAGAAAGTACTTCCAGGTGCAGCATTTAAGCAGAAAAAGTACCTCCAAGTTCTCCATTTGAGTAGAAAAAGCAGCACAAACATTCATTCCAAGTTCACCATTTAAGTAGAAAAAGCAGCACAAAAAGAACTTCCAGGTTCACCATTGGGGGGGGGGGGATGGAGTCTCCCACTCATTCCAGGTGATTTATGTCCCCTCCCTGTGAAGTTCAGGAATGACAAGGCAGGAAAATCCCTCAGCAGCCTCTTCAACAACTCAATAGAGGGGACAACAGCCGCCTTTTATTGGTGTCCATAAAAGTTTATGGGTTGGAACTTGCTGGGTTTGTTCCATGGGGAAAAAAAAGGAAGTGGGGTTTTGGGTTTTTTTTATTGTTATTATTGTTTTGAATCTACAGATCAGGGAAAGTTTGGGGAGGTTGGGAAGGGAAGGTTTGGGAAAGGAAATTTCAGGAAAGGAAATTTCAGGAAAGGAAATTTCAGGAAAGGAAAGGAAAGGAAATTTAAGGAAATTTAAGGAAAGGAAAGGAAATTGGAAAGGAAATTTAAGGAAAGGAAAGGAAATTTAAGGAAATTTAAGGAAAGGAAAGGAAATTTAAGGAAAGGAAATTTAAGGAAATTTAAGGAAATTTAAGGAAATTTAAGGAAAGGAAATTGGAAAGGAGAAAGGAGAAAGGAGAAAGGAGAAAGGAGAAAGGAGAAAGGAGAAAGGAGAAAGGAGAAAGGAGAAAGGAGAAAGGAAAGGAAAGGAAAGGAAAGAAAAGGAAAGGAAAGAAAAGGAAAGGAAAGAAAAGGAAAGGAAAGGAAAGGCCCTCCATCCCTGTGAGCTCTGCCTTGTGCCCCCCAGATCTCAAATCACCCAAAGGAGCAACTCCCTGGTCCCAGGAAATCCTGCAGGAGCCTGGGGAGTTCACCTCTGGCACCATCAAAGGTCAGCCAGAAAAAGGCCTGAGAACTTGAATATCTGAGGCAACAAAACACCTTTTGCTTCTAAACACCAAAAAATCCAGGTGTCTCTCGTCACCCACCTTCCATCAGGGAGAGATTCCATAAAGCAGAGCTCGAGGATTGCAAGGAAATTAAACCCAAATTGACTATGTGGCAACACAAGCCATAAATTTTGGGGTTTGTGGCCACTGCTTGGGCTTTATCCCACTGCCAATTCATCTTCCCCTTTGATTAAAACATCCCCTGCTGATTCCGCTTCCGAAGCCCGAGTTTATCTGCTCGTAATCGAATTCCCTCCCTTGCTGATCCATTCCCGTCTCCCAGCTGAAAAAATGCAGCCCCGGGATCTGACACCCAGGTGTTCCTGGCAGGAATCAGTCACCTCATTCCCTACATCCTGACTCACTCGGGGATGGGTTTTTCCTGGTGGTTTGCCCAGGTGTTGCCCCCTCACACCATCACCACCCCCACCCACCACCTCACCCTGATTTGAGGGGGATTTAATCCCTAACACGGATCAGGGCATCCAGACCAGCTGGAATATCATCCCAGCTCCACAGCTGGATGCCTGCCCATCCTCAAATGTCTTCCCATGATCCCAGAAGCTCGGCCCAGCAGAGGATTGTCCTCCAGGGAAAGCAGATCCCTATGGCATTTTTACACCACTGCTGGTTGGTCCCTTCTTCTCAAGGAATTTCCAGGCTCTGGGAGCAATTCCAGCCATTTGCAGGGATGTTTTCAGTGGGCACAGGGATATTTCTTTCCCCTTGGAAAACTAAAGGCACAATCCTGGAGGTTGGGAGAGTAAAACCTTCCTTTCCCTGCTGGTTTAGCTGAGTGTTGCCCCCTCACACCATCACCACCCCCACCCACCACCTCACCCTGATTTGAGGGGGATTTAATCCCTAACACAGCTCAGGGCATCCAGACCAGCTGGAATATCATCCCAGCCCATCCTCAAATGTCTTCCCATGATCCCAGAAGCTCTGGTGTCTCTCGGCCCAGCAGAGGATCCTCCACCAGTCTTGTCTTCCAGGGAAAGCAGATCCCTATGGCATTTTTCCAAGCTCTGAGGGCAATTCCAGCCACTTGCAGGGATGTTTTCAGTGGGCACAGGGAGATATTTCTTTCCCCTTGGAAAACTAGTCAAGGCACAACCCTGGAGGTTGGGAGAGCAAAACCTTCCCTGTGTCCCTCCATCCCTTTCTCCTCCTTTTTTTGGGCTGCCAGAAGACAACCAGTTCCTCCTACCACCTTCACCCTCGAGGTCCCACCGTGCCACCACCTCCACCAGGCTCCTTCCCCGCCCCGGGAGCAGGAGCCACCCCATTCCTACCCCAAAATAAACCCCATCCCGAGCGCTCCGGCACTCGCAGCTACGAGACATTTCCCCTCCTGGGTTCTCCGTTAATCTCCCTCCACTCTCCTCGATACCTGGGCTCGTCCCGGTGCCTGAGAGGATTTGGAAAGGCGAGGGAAAATATAATTAGTCGTGATGTTGCCCTCGGAGTCAGAGCCGGGGCCGGCTCATTGAAGGGCAGCGGTCAGCAGGGGGAGCGGAGAGGAGCCAATTTAGCGCGGCTTACGGAGCCGTTCCGGCTGATTAGGGATTTGATGAGGGAAGGGGTTTGATTTGGGTGGCTGGAGTGACAGAAGCCTTACGGTCAGTTGAGATCTTGTTTAAGGAGGGCAAGCGGATCTGGAGTGGGGATGACAGATAGGGAGCCAGGGACGAGCGGGACAAATCGGCCGGGCTCCTTCTACCGCTTGTTGTGTCCGACCTAATCCGGCCAGGGCTGGGCACCGGCAGGGAAAGGCAGCCAGGAAGGATGCCAGGAACTCCAGGGAGGGAGAACAGCAGGGAGAAAGAACTAGGGGAGGCTGGAAAGACAGGCAGACACGGAGTTTAAGTGGAATCATCCCTGGGATCATGTCCCAGCCTCGGTCATTCCTGGGTTCTGGCTCTGGGTGCTTTGCCTTCATCCTGCAGCTCCCTGTGCTCCAAGGAGCAGAGCAGAGGTGGAAAAGGAAATCCAGCTTCTCCAACCTTCCCCTTCCTGCCTGCTGCTCTGGGGACTTGCTCTCTGGGAATGGAGGGAATGTTGCCTGCACACACTGCTCCCATTTCCTTTGGGGCCAAAGCCCGAGAGTATGAGGAATAACAGGATCATGGAATCCTGGAATGGCTTGATAAAGAACTAGAGGATAAGAAAGATAAAGAACTAGTGCAGGCAGGAAAGACAGGCAGACATGGAGTTTAAGTGGAATCATCCCTGGGATCGTGTCCCGGCCTTGGTCATTCCTGGGTTCTGGTTCTGGGTCCTCTGCCTTCATCCTGCAGTTCCCTGTGCTCCAAGGAGCAGAGCAGAGGTGGAAAAAGAAATCCAGCTCTGCATGAGGCTTCTCCAACCCTCCCCTTCCTGGTTACTGCTCTGGGGACTTACCCTCTGGGAATGTTGCCTGCACACACTGCTCCCATTTCCTCTGGGACTAAAGCATGGGAGTGTGTGGAATAACAGGATCATGGAATCATGGAATGTTTTGGGTTGGAAGTGACCTGAAAGATCATCTCATTCCAACCTCTGCCATGGGCAAGGACACCTTCCACCAGCCCAGGTTGCTCCAAGCCCAATCCAACCTGGTCTTGGACACTTCCAGAGATGGGGCAGCTGCAGCTTCTCTGGGAAACCTGTGCCAGGGCCTCACCACCTTCACAGGGAAGAATTCCTTCCCAATATCCCATCTAAATCAACCCTCCTCCATCTTAAAGCCATTCCCCCTTGTCCTGTCCCTCCATCCCTTGTCCCAAGTCCCTCTCCAGCTCTCTTGGAGCACCTTTAGGCCCCGGAAGATGCTCTAAGATCTCCCTGGAGCCTTTTCTTCTCCAGGCTGAGCATCCCCAAGTCCCTCAACCTCTCATGCAGGACCATCCCAAGGACCACATCCATCCTGGGAACTTCCACTTGGTCCTTCCCGTGTTTTTCAAACAGATTAGGCCCCTTAGACCAGCAATTCCCTAATTATTCCCATTTGGGATGTGGGTAATTCCTGATGTAAGTGTCCACCTCAGCCCCACGCTCAGTTAGATCCTCCACTTTCAGGAATTCTTAAGAAGTCCTGATGAATCCAGAGCAGGAACAACCACAAAAAGTTGAGCATTAACCATAAATTATCAACAAAATGAGCCAGTCTGGGGGAATGAGGGAGGTGGGGAGGAGATGAATGGCCTGACAAGCTTTCCCAGATGGATATCAAAGCCACTGTAGCAAAGGACAACAAGATCTCCCTCACCTCTGCTCCCATCCTTAATCCAGGCCAGGAAGGGATGGAATTTTGGGATATGCCAATGCACCTACCTTCTTCTTCCACAGGTCCCTTGTGTCTGCTATTCCTTTCTCCTGGAGATGGGCAGAAGGACACAAAATGCCTCTGGGAGGGCTCTATGCCCAATGTTCACCTCGGGGTGCCAAAATTCCTCCCGGGCTGTGATTCCACCCTAAAATATCTCACCCTCGCTCCCCCCTGCAGGGAAAGGAAAGGGAACCTGCTCCTGTTTTTATTCCAAGGGTGGAGGGTGATGGAGAGCTTTGGACCCTGGAACCTTCTGTGAGCCGTGAGGTCACAACGGGAGTGTCACGGACACGGCGACACCTTCCAGGTCATGAATCCAAACGTCCCATTGCAACTGGAAAGAGGGAAAAATTCCTACCCTCCCTTGATTCCAAAAGTTAAGAGACAAACTCAGGAGCAGGTAGAGCTGCTGGGAATTCAGCCCCAACTCCATTTTCTGTGCTCACAAGGTGATTAAATGACTTTTCCAGGTGCTCCAGGCCGTATCCAATCCCCTAAGCCCCACTGGGATGCCCTAATCCCGGGACAAGCCCTTCTCCTGTGGCAAGGAAAAGGATGCTCCGGGATCCAGGCCAGCCAAGGCACACCCCCAGGAGGAAAAGCACGGCCTCCAACGACCCAAAAAGCCAAATCCTCCCAGTGGCTGGGGCTGTAAATCCTCACTATCCCAGCACCCAACGGTGCTAAAACGAGGCTGGAAAAGAGGTCGAGCCTGGAATTCGGCAGGAATTCAGCACCAGCACTTCTGGGGAAAGAAAGAAAGAAACTGCAGTTTTCCAGCCAGAACCCAAAAGCAGGGAAACATTAAATAAACAGGAGGGAAGGGGAAGTGAAAGCCATCCTTCTGCATCTCGTCCCCGTGGTGTGCTTGGCTCTCAGTTCTCCTTGACAGCCCCCCCAGAAATCCCACAATTATTTGTGGGAACGGCAGAAGGGCAATCAAAGCCTCGCAAATCCAATGTTTTGTCGACAGAAACGAAGGCAGGTATTTGCCAGGAAAATTCCCCCTCCCAAAAAAAACCCTCGGCCCTTCTTCCCCCTGCAAAGGTAGGAGTTTTGTTTTATATCAGCTCTGAAAAGTTCCTTTTCATCTGTCACCGTTGTCTTGAAAGGAGAAGAATTGCTCTCGGTGGGGAGTTATTTCTTCGCTTCCCTTTCAGCTCAAAAGAGAAAACACTTCCTCCCCCCCATACACACACACTTTAATTTGAAATGAGCTTAATATCATCAGTGAAAACTCATCTGAAACTCAAAATAAAACAGGGGAGCTCTCACCTGGGAACTGGTGCCCACCAGCTTCCAAATGCAGCTTCAATACAATTAAATAACAATAATCCGGGAGATACAGGGAATGCTGGAATGCTGGAGCAGCTCTTCAAACTGGGCCACCTCCGTCTCAGATGCTTGAGCGGTGATTTATTTGATTAATTGGCTCAGGTGGGTTTCTCTCAACCCTCCACTGCGTTTTCTGGAGGCTTCATCCAAAGCCCACTTAAGGCAGTGAAATAAAAATCTTTTGCCTACAAAAGGGCCTCCGGATAAATCCATGGGCTCGTGCCAAGGGTTAATTTGGGGTTCAGCCTCTGCTGGCTCTGCTCCACTTCCATCCCTCCAGGGGTTTCTCTGTAGTTATTCAAGATTATCCAAAAGGAAGGCCCGGGAACACCCCCCTGGCTGTGCAGAGGAGGTTTTTCCAGACACGCTCCCTCTTTCCTGGAGGAACCTTCCCCAACTCTTCCCAAGGTGGGAAAGCCCTGGAAATTGGTTTTGAGGGGGATTTAAGCACGACAGTGCCCCCAAAGATGTTCCACTGTTGGCATCCACTGGAGCGGAGGGGTTTGGCTGGCACAAAGTGCCACCTCTCCAACGCGGGGTGGGCTGGCATCGCTTCAGAGCCGTGATCTCATCCCTCCCTCCTTCCCAGAAGTAGCCGGTGTGATTCCCAAATCGCGGCTGTTTGCTGCTTCCACCCCTTCCCCTGGCAGTCTCCAGGCAGGCAGACATCTCCCTTTTCCAAGAGCCAGCCCTCTTCCCTGAAACTAAAAGCTCCAGGGGGGAGTCGTATCCAGACATCCCAGGGGGTGGCACGTGCGGCTCATCCGTTCCCGATCCATCCCCACCTCCCACAAGGTCACCGACCCTCCAGGGGGCCATGGAGGGAACACCTAGAGCCCGAAAAAAGAAGGATGGTCAGATGTGGGCCCTTTTTTGGGAAGAGATCCTTCAGCTCAGGACAGGTGTTTTGGGGTCTGATCCCAGGTGCTGATGGATGCCTGCGGCGGGAATGCCGGTGGTGGGAATGCCGGCACACACACACACACACACAACCGTCCTCTCCATCCTCATTTTAGGTTCCCACAGCACGTGGAGCTTTAGGAAAAGAGAAAAAGGCTCTTTATCTGATTTCTATTTATTGGCAGAGAAGGAAGAGAAACCCGCTCATCCCTTCCCGTGCCACGGCACAGGGATGGGAGCCTCTCTTCCCTCGTCCCCGATCCCAGGAAGGTAATTGCCTCTCTCACTCCAATCCCTGAGAAACCTTTTAATAAACGTCTCTGCCAACTTTGAGGCCTCGTCCAATCTTGACAAATTGGAGTGGAACAAATCCTGTTTGGTGGTAATGCGGCGATTCCAGGGAAGATGGGTTCCAGGGAGGTGGATTCCAGGGAAGATGGGTTCCAGGGAGATGGATTCCGGGCAGGTGGGGCCGTTTAATGGATTTTGGCCGAGGAAGTACAACCCCAAAAATGTCCCCCTGCACAGGGACCCCCTTTGGATGCTGGCAGGGATGGAGGGGGATTCCTTAGGGAATGCCAGCTTTGGGAATGCCCAGAAAGATGCTTTTCCTGAGGATGGTTCTTATCCCACAGGGAGGTGGGTGGTGCTGGACGTTCCTTCCTCAAGGAATCTCTGGAGGGCTGAATTCCAACCTCCCTCCACCCCTGGACACCCCTGGATTTGTTTTTAAATCAAGGTGTTGCCATCAGCTGTTGAGCCTCTCTTTTTCCAGGAGAAAAACATCCAAGTTCTCCCTCAAAATGGACCAGGGATGTGGGACCGGGTCTTAGTCCCACAAGCTGGGATGTGAAGGATATCAGGAATCCCCTGTTGGATTCAGTCTTATTCCTTATCCCCCCCCCCAAAAAAAAAGCCCCAAATTTGAGGAAAAGGGGAAAGAAATTTTGCTTTTCCATATAAACCATCCCATCCCGACGACATAAATTCCAAAAGGAATCTCGGGGAATCGATATTTCCAAGGAAATCCAAGGGATTTGATTTTGGGGACGATTCCAACGGGATCTTTGAGGTTTAAACGGTCCCTAAATGTTTGGAAAGAGCCTCCTGCATCCAGGTATAACCCATTTGTCGGGAGATGAAGAGCAAAGAAGAGAAAATCCAAAAATGTGCCACGTCAGGAAAACTGATGGGAATAAGCTGTTTTACTAAATCTGTGCCGGAAAATGTATCAAATCGGTCACACTCCCAAATTCCCGCTCCTGCTTCATCCCAAATCAAGAGATACGTTTTTATTTTTAGATAATGTGGATAATAATATTGGACATTCCCTATATTATTATGGATAATAATATTGGGTGTTATACCCCCAAATTTATATGGATTTATGGCTGTATTTTATATATAAATATATATCTATATATACATATATAAATATTTTATATATATATTATACCCCCAAATTTATATGTATTTCTAATTGTATTATATATATAAATATATAAATATATAAATATTTTTATATATATTATACCCCCAAACTTATATGTAATTCTAATTGTATTTTATATATAAATATATATTTATATATAAATATATAAATATTTATATATATATTATACCCCCAAATTTATATGTATTTCTAATTGAATTTTATATAAAAAATGTATGTTTATATATAAATATACAAATATTTTTATATATATTATACCCCCAAATTTATATGTATTTCTAATTGTATTTAATATATAAATATATATCTATATATACATATATAAACATTTTATATATATTATAACCTCAAGTTTATATGGATTTATAGTTGTATTTTATGTATAAATATATATTTATATATAAATATATAAATATTTTATACATATATTATATCCCCAAATTTATATGTCTTTCTAATTGTATTTTATATATAACTACATATTTATAGATATATAAATATTTTTATATATATTATACCCCTAAATTTATATGTATTTCTAATTGTATTTTATATATAACTATATATTTATATATAGATATATAAATATTATAAATATTATACCCCCAAATTTGCATGTATTTCTAATTGTATTTTATATATAAATATATAAATATCATATATATTATACCCTCAAATTTATATGTATTTCTAATTTTATTTTATATATAAATATATATTTATGTATAAATATATAAATATTTATATTATGCCCCCAAATTTATATGTCTTTCTAATTGTATTTTAAATATAAATATATATTTATATATAAATTTATAAATATATTACGTATTTATATCTTTATAGTTATCTTTATATAAATATATAATATATATTTATATATAAATATGTTATATATTTATATATTTATATTTATGTATTATATATATTTATCTCTAGATCTATATTCTATTTATATATTTATATACATCCTCATTTTTCCTATCCTGTCAGGAAGAAGGAACTTCCCAACTACCAGTTTCCACGATTAACAATTCATTCTTCCCCGTTGTTTGGTACAGGGATAATTTAAAAAAGTTATGGTTTCTCCCTAAAAGTGCTGGTTGTGGATATTTGGGAAAGAATTGGTGAAACAGGGGAAGCACAGAGCAATCCGTGTCTGGATTATCCCAGATTTAAGGAGGAGGTTACGGATCGCTGGAGCTGCAGATCCTTCCCATCTCTCGGTTTTCAGGGACAAATTTCTCCTGTAATACTGAAAAGTGGGAATTTTTGACTGTTAGGAATTTGATTGTTATTTTTTTTCAGGGAATGTTCTGCAAAACTGAGCTCACCATGGAACGGTTTGGGTTGGAAGGGAGCGGAAAGCTCATGGAATTCCAACCCCCTGCCATGGGCAGGGACACCTCCCACTATCCCAGGTTGATCCAACCTGGCCTTGGCACACTTCCAAGGGTGGGGCAGCCACAGCTTCTCTGGGAATTCCATCCCGGTCCCTCACCACCCTCCCAGTCAAGAATTCCTTCTCAATATCCCACCTAACCCTGTCCTCTGGCAGTGGGAAACCATTCCCTGTGTCCTGTCCCTCCATCCCTTGTCCCAAGTCCCTCTCCAGATCTCCTGGAGCCCCTTTAGGCTCTGGAAGGGGCTCCAAGGTCTTCCTGGAGACTTCTCCAGGTTGGACATTCCCAGCTCTCCCAGCCCGGCTCCAGAGTTGAGGGGTTCCAGCCTTTGGATCATCTCCGTGGATTCCTCTGGGCTCGCTCCAGCAGCTCCACATCCTCCTTGTATTCCCATGCCTTGAAAGGCTCTGCCTGGCACAGCCATTTCCACCCGGAATTCCTCAAAAGAGGAACAGCTAAAAGCAAGTCACGGATGCAGGCACAGAAACTTTGCTTCCAGGAGTTTCATCCCTGTCCGTGCTCCCCATGGATCGGGAAGATCCACCGCCAAAGCCGCCTCGTCCTTTAGGGATTTACAGACCCTGGAACGAGGGTTCTCCCATTTTCCAAATGCAATAGAGAATTCCAAGAGCACGATTTGAGCACTTTGGCTTCTCAGCTCGGGGTTGAATTCCAGGCAATTCCGTGGTGAGGTGTTGGAATGTGGGATGAGCTTCACCCAGGGCAACTCCTGTTTGTTTGGAAGCAG